AATGCAATGGATCCATAGGTATAAGGGTCGGTCTTTATTGATTTAAAATGGGACGATTGTTCCCATGTTGTGGCCAAGAATAGTCATTGGGTCATCAAGAGCCTAATAATGCGAGCTCTTGAAGTCGAACATTTTCCATTGACCCCACGGTGTAATTTTTGAGTCAATTTAATTGGATGGTTATTCCCATATTGTAGCTATAAATAGGCATTGGGTCATTGGGGGCAACTTGGTACACTCTCATGGAGCCGAATACTATCCATTGGCCACATGATGTAATATTTAGTGAATTAGTGTACATGGGATCATTGGAGGCCTTGAACTATGAATTGCGAACAATTGATCCTATTGTGTCCATTGATCCTCAAGATGGTCTCTATGACGTGGAATGATGGCCTACTTTTGTGTTCTGCCGCTAACTATGGGAATCGGGTCTCCCCCATCGCCGAAAGGTGGTGTTTTAGGTATCGGGTTTTATCTATCTTTTTTTCGTGACGTGTTGGGCATGGAGTATTTTCTATTATTTATGGTTTGGGTATTGAAGCTTGCTTGGGTATTTAATCTTATTCACTTTTGGGTGATTTTGAGCTTTGGTTTCATGATGAAAGGGACGTTTTGATAAATGACTTTTTTCATCACGAAAATGGAGGATTTTGGAAAAGGTTGTTCCTTTGTACAAATTACAATTCATTTTGGAAATTATGATTTAAATAACATCTTTTCAGTTTTACCATTTTAATATTTTAGATGAAAACTTCTCGAACTCACTAGGCGTTAAGCCTAACCTTTTTTTATTTGTTGTCATGTGCATCAGGTCCTTGTTGGGGAGTGTCACTAGCGACACTATAGAGTTGAGAGTTAGTTAAAAGCACAGGATATAATTAGCAAATTAGAGACGTCTTCCGCATTGGAGTTAGCGACTTTATTGCGTTTCAGGAACATTCGACTTTAATCTAATCTTTATGTAAGACTTGATTTATCAATTGTTAATACTAAATCTAGTTTTGGTATAACAGCCTAGATATTGTTATTGATTAATCTTGGTACAATCATTTACATGACAATTAGATGTTTTATCTACTTGTACCCTTGCTTAAAGTAGTTGTATTTTGGACTAATAATATAAGTCCAAGTTTTATGTAAAGGGTCAATTATGTTAGAAAATAAATTGGTCTTAGGACTATAAATGTTAAGAAAAATCCATGTAAAAACTAATATTGAATTAGGCAATTGATGAGGGGTAACATTTGCTAAGTGGGTATTCTTTTACTAAGTATTTAAACCCTTAATTTTCTGAAAATACATCT